AATGCTTTTATTTGTTTTAATTTGTTTTATGAATATGGACAATATTTTCTGAAAGCAAAAATTTTTTTCAATGAAAATTGAATTTTTAATACAATTATTTAATTTTTTAATTTTAAAAAGATTTTTTAAAAAATGTTTAAATTGAATTTTAAAAATATTTTAACATTAGTTAAATGCAACATCAACCTTTCAAAATGTCCGTGTGAGATTGTCATTGTCTAGCGCTTTGAAAATTGTATAATTTGGACCAATCAGATTAGCCATGGTAATTAAGAAATGTAATTTTTGTGTTTATAGTCGGACAGTAATTATGAAGTACGGAAGACCAACCAGAATACAATTTAGTTGCATTATTTGAGTTCAGCATTGTTCTCCGCTGTTAAGCCCTTTACTTTTGCGAAACACGTATGGAGAAGTTAATTTGAGTTTTCAATTTCAACTGAGAAGGGTACCTACAAGTAACAGTATCATCTTATGAAATTTAACTACTGCCAAACTTTAATTTATATGATCTTATTTTTATATTAATCTCTGTTATGACATTTTTCCATAAATGAAATATCAAAATTAATAATAAAATGAATGGAAATACAAATAACACAGTAAAATATAATAAATGTACATAAAATTATAGTATTTTATGTACACTTCTGATAAAATTTCATAAGAAAGGTACCTAAATTAATTAGATACCTTTTTCTTATGAAATTTAATCTCACTATTAACAGTCTTATTTTTTAATTTCTTTATATTTTCCATAAATCATCGTAAACGTAAAAATGAAAGCTAAGTACAAAAAAAAAAAAAATAAATAAAAAATTAGAGCGCTGAAAGTTTTCCTTAAAAGTAACGAGGTAAATAATTTGTTCACTTAAATAATTTCACTTCCTTCCATCCGTAGAAAGAATTACCCTCCTGTAATTTATCAAAACGTGATGAATGTGCCTTTCGTCAATCGTCAAGCGACGCGAAAGGTTATGACCTGCTTTGTTTTATTTTCAAATTACATTTTTTCGGCGCAGAAGCTAAGTTAAGCTTGGTACAAAATTTTAAATATACAGTATAATATCTGTTTTTATTAAAATCAGTTTTGAAAAAATGATAATTGATTTTTAAAAGAATATCAAAGTAAGATTTTAATCTTTTTTATCAAATCGAAAAAAATGAAAAATGATTGATTATCTGCCCTTTTTTTTTGACCCCAAAAAACAATATTTTTAACGAAAATTTCAGACGTGCTAGGAACGCTTAAAAAATGTAAAAAAAATACTCCAAAAATACTTTTATCTTTCCTCTTTAATAATAATATGAACATTAGACGATAAAATTTTGTTTTCGTCAAGTTCGGCGTCTTTTTCATCATGCTATGCTCTTTTGTTTACATTTTCGTGGGTGAGTTGTCCCCCTTTCATTCTCACGATGTGTCTTAATCGTGTTTTCAAATTGATTTTCTTAAAAAACAACTGTGTTTTTCCCATTTTCGGCGCCGTTAGAAACACCAAAAGGTAATTTTATGTAGTCCTGTGAAGTTTTGTTGAAATCGGCTAAAAATGTAGGAAATTCGATCCAACATATAAACGTTACACACACACACACACACACACACACACACACACACACACACACACAACCTGCGTTTTATAATAACTAATATATATATATATATATATATATATATATATATATATATATATATATAGTAAAGGTAATAAATCCTTGATATATAATCCAAGTGGATCCTAGTAAAATCAAAGATTAAAACTGATCCTCAAAATGCTCTCAATGTATTTATTATAACAGATATTAAATCGTTTCCTTAGTTGAAATTGATATAGATATATTGATATATAAGTTATATTTAGGTAGCAAGTATGCGTCCAAACAATTTTGATGAAATACCACTGACAAGGCCCCTCAATTTAATTTTTTAAATGATTTTTTCCAATTTTCAAATAAGGTATTTTAATTTAGAATTACATGTATCTTGGGATCGATATTGTGGATATAAATATCTTCATATGTGCATGAAATATGTAATATGAGTTTAAAAATAATAAAAAATATGTAATATGAGTTTAAAAATAATAACAAATAAAACGCATTCTTTTGGGTGCAGTCTCGCTATCCTTAATTGTTACACATTAGTTGACCGTTTTTGATTTCTAAAGAATACCAGGACGTAGCCAAAGGAATATCACATGTTTCTTGAAAATATGGATGAGAGGTCGGCTCCCCCAGCAGTGGATACTGGTGAGGTGGATAGTATGTCACCCAGCGGAACTAAAAATATGACCGTTCATGAGGCGGAAACACTCCTAGTGAGTCAACGGCCAACTTGAAAACTTGATAGACAGAGAGGGAAGGCCACTCCGAAGTAAAACCTGCATCTTTGCACGTCGCTTATCTCGTGGCAAACGTTACAGCAGAAAGCAGATGGCGGGCATTGGACAAGAGGGTGAGACTTTATAAATTTCAGGTGCAGATCATCCTACAACATTAGATGAATCTACAGATAGGATTCATCGGTAATGGGCCGATAGAATACTCATGCGTTGGCTCACGACGCGAGAATCCATACATACATATATAATTTTACAAGGATCTTCCCCTTCCCTGAATTGAGCACTGTCAGTCATTGGCGTGTTTATTCACAGAATAAGTACGTAAAAATTCGCCTTTCTTTCAACAGGGCACCGATGGCTTAGGGGAAAAATTTTTTGACTGTTGCCAAATATATATATGTATGTACATTGAACACTAATATTATCAATATATATATATATATATATATATATATATATATATATTCCAAGAGGATAGAATCCAGGTAGTACTCAATGTCTAGGATAGAGTAAGAATATAATAAAAAAGGCGCAAACACTAATATTCCATGGTTATAATTTATTACATTGGAATCGCAAATGAATGAAGATAACTCAGTGGTAGAAGCTCTGACTGACACCAAATCAGTTAGGTTTCGATCCTGGCTGAAGGCATTCGGATGTCTAGTCTCACTGAGGAACTGTGGTACGGCGAAACAGTACTGTCTGTCAATGACCGCATGTAACAGCAAAATTGTCTAAATCGTGTAACAACAAAATTGTTCAATTGTTAGAATAAGATTTGAACCGTTGTATCTTAGAAATGATTCAAGATATCTTACTGAATTCTACGAGCTTTTCATATTACTATTGCACTCTGCTTTGAGCAACAACAAATGTATAATTACTCTCCAAGCTTAACAGAAGAATCGTGATGAAATCAATCATGAACGAAAATGACATTTCATCACTAATTAATCGCCGCTAAGGATCGGATGTTCATGAAGGAATGAAATAAAGTTCAAATATATATATATATATATATATATATATATATATATATATATATATATTCCAGGATCATTATTGAAGATGATCTCTCGCCCTTTCTAACCTCTGACTTTGTGTCTTGGAGTAAGGTGCCACACAGGTTTCATCGGGTGATTTCATTTTCAAAGCTTTATTTCACTGCTTTTTGGACTGTCATAGCTGAAAATCTCCCCTCAAGTGCCAAACGTCTTATTGATTGAGTTGGATCTTTTCTAATTAATCTCTTTAGCTCTCAGTTGAAATGATGATCACTTTTCCTGTTGTGACCCCCTGATCCAGTTTTCCTCTATACTGTTCCTTCTTTTTTTAAAACTTATTCACCCTTATCTTGATGATTCTTCAATGGACATTGAAGATGAAAGCCAGACTGAATGCTGGTACCATTACTGAAGTGCTTACGGTCAATTCACGCTGAAACACCGGTTCTCGTTCGATCACCGAAGTTAAGCATCGTAGAGCCAGGTCAGTACTTAGATGGGGACCGTTGGGAACACCTGGTACTGTAAGCCCCCAAAGTCCAACCCTTACCTCACAGTCGGTGGGGGGTGTAAACGGTAGTGTCAGAGTTATGCCGCCCGGAACTTCGTTCCTGGTAGGGCCACCCAAGGTGGACAGGTCTGACACACACGCCGGCTTACAAGAGCTCTGGTGAAAATCCAAGGAGCGTCTGCATCGGTAACCGGCGGCTTCTGGTCGTTCCTGTCTCTGCGTCTGTGGGAATCCCGCGGCAAGCAAGAACGTTATTCGAGTAGGCCTGGGTACCCTACTTCTGTAATTTATCCCAAGAATCTTCTTCTCATAACAGGAAGAAGCCGGCTCAATCCGCCCAGGGTGAATGCCGCATCAGTACAGTACAGTACCATTACTGAAGTCCTGAATGATCTTTTTTCTCTCACCATTGCTCAGTTGAGAAGACAGTGGAATTGACACAAAACGATTTTCACCCGTTCTCTTTCTAGCTGAATATCGCCAAGGATTTTCAGTTATTCTTACGACTAATGTTATCAAGATGGATAAACCTTTTATTTGAAAAAAAAATGGTGTTTTTTAGATATTTAATATTTTGGGGATGGACGATTATGCTGTTACACGATTTAGACAATTTTGCTGTTACACCCGGTATGTGTACATACAAGGTACTACCCAAAGACTTTTGAAAGTAGTTCGATCCCTGCTGGGTATCTTCTACACATGGGACCATGTGCAGGTGCATACGCCACCCTGAAGTTACCAGGCAGGAACGTGCAAGGCGAAATTGTCAGACCGGGTTCGAATTTCAGCCTTGACAATTAATGTTCACTGCACACTTATGTCTTGTGAAGAAGTTTGAATTCACTTCTTCACGGCACGGCATTACCTGATGGCTGACGTAGAATGTGGGCGACGAGCATTTATGCTAACCACTCTCACATTACAATGCTGTCACCTCTGTGGTCAACCCTCGCCAGGGTTGGATAACTTTAGACCCGTGTACTAGCATAAAAGAAATAGGTATGGTCTCTCCGGACTTGTATCAAGATAGACACGCAAGCACGAGGCTTTGGGAGTCATTGAAATCATATCTTTACTTTATTTTAATAGCAAACACCATTTTATCTTTCTTCTCCGGCTATCGCACACGATCGACTATTATGTTGAAGTGCGCATGTCACTGACCGAATTTGGAATGCAGTTAATGCCCTTGGTTAGGTAAGTGTGAAAGGGAGTGACAGAGGGAGAGAGAGAGAGAGGGAGAGAGAGAAAGAGGGAGAGAGAGAAAGAGAAGAAGAGAACTATGTAACGAAATAGAGTGAAAGGGAGGGTCAACTAGAATGTCAGCGAGGGAAAGAAAGTGAACAAGTGAAAGATAAAGAGTAAGTAAAAAGAAACATTAACCAATAAAGAGAGTGAGAGAGAAATAGAGATAGAGAAAAAGGAAGAGAGGATGAAAGATACAGTTAAAGGAGAGAGTGATTAAAAGAGAGTAAGGGAATGAGAGTGAGAGTTAAATAAAGACAAAACAAATAGTGAGTGATAGATAGACAGAAAGAAAGACTTAGCGAGTAAAAGGAAGAGACAAAATAGTGAGATGAATAGAAAGACCGATAAAAAAAAGAAAGAAAACGTGAAAATGATAGTGAAAAATGAGAGAAAGAGAGAGAGAGAGAGAGAGAGAGTTGTAGGAGAAGAGAAAGAGAGAAAATAAAAGCGATTAAGAGATAGCGTCAGACAGTGAAACGTGAAGGGAAAGAGCGCATGAGGAAAAAATGGCGATCTATAGCGAAACAGAGAGTTAGAGATAACAAGAGAGATAAGGAGCAAGAAAGAAAGAACGAAAGAAAGAAAGAAAAGAAGGAAAGAAAAGCAAAAGAAAGAAAAGAAAGAAAGAAAGAACGAAAGAAAAAGTAAAGAAAGTAATTAAAAGAACGAAAAGAAAGAAAAAGTAAAAAGAAAGAAAAGAAAGAACGAAAAGAAAGAAAAGTAAAAAGAAAGAAAAGAACGAAAAGAAAGAAAAGAAACAAAGAAAGCAAGAAAAGAAAAAAACAAAGAAAAGAAAACAAACAAAAAAGAAAAACGAAAGAAAAGAAAAAAAACAAAAAAAAGAAAAAAGAAAACGAAAACATAAAGAAGAGAAAAAATAAAAAAAGAAAAGAAAAGAAAAAGAAAAAGAAAGAATAAAGAAGAGAAAGAAATTAAAAAAAGAAAAGAAAGTAAGAAAGAAAGAAAAAAGAAAAGAAAAAAGAAGAAACAAAAGAACGAAAAAAAGAAAGAAAGAAAAGAAAAAAGAATTAAAGAAAGATAAGAAAGAAACGAAAGAATAAAGAAGAGAAAGAAAGTAAAAAAAGAAAAGAAAGAAAGAAAGAAAAAAGAAAAGAAAAAAGATGAAAAGAAAGAAAGAAAGAAAGAAAGAACAGAAAAGAAAGAAAATAAAGATAGAAAGAAAATAAATTAAAGAAAAGAAAAAGAGAGAAGTTAACCTCATTTGTGGTTATTAGCAGAAATGGTTGCTGATGACCGAACGTAGTTTTTCTTTTCTTTTTTTTTATGCTTCTGCTCCGGCTGGCATCGAACACGCTTTCACTGTCATATTTACGACTTGGCAAGATTTACTGAAGACAGAGTTTCATTTTGGAGCTAAGCTAAATGGTTGGGGTGGGGGGTGCGTTTTTATTGCGTTCATTACATCAGATTATAACAACGGAACTAGACACACATAGAACGCTTTTCCGAGTAACGTATGTTCAATTTCAAAAACAAATTAATAACACTGACGGAATCTGAGATGATGACATTTGAAAATAAATAAAGAGCTATATATGTTGCAAGATCGATATCCTCCCCCTTCCCACTCTCCCTTCCTCTTTCTCTCTTTTAGTGAACCACCCCACATACACATGTACGCACACAAGTATATACTCACCTATACGCATATTAACATGTCGACGGGGAGAAAGATGCTTATCTTTTTCATCCTCCTTATCCTCATAATCAACATAATATTCATTTAATTGTATTCCATGCTATTTAGAATATATATATATATATATATATATATATATATATATATGATTCTAAATATCTTGGAATACAATTGACACGATCCAATATATATATATATATATATATATATATATATATATATAATATAAAACAAAAAAGAGAATCCTCAACGTCGAAAGCATAAGGAAAATTATTTCATTTTAATAATATGTGGAAATATTCTTTGCCTGAAGAAGGTTGCGAGACCCGAAACACATGTTGCAAAATTATGGAAAATAAAGGATAATATATATTTTTTAAAATCCGCTTTACAATAAAAAACGTTTGCAGTTTATATATATATATATATATATATATATATATATATATATATATATATATATAATATAAACAAACCATCCGTCAAAACAATCTTTATTCCCCCATAGCTGAATACTTTAATCAATGTGGACACTCATTAGAAAACTGTAAATGTTTATTGATAGATTCTGATTTTAGTTCCACATACACACGCAGAAAAAAAAAGAGAAAAATACTGGATTTTAAAATTAAATACATATAAACTAGGGTTAAATAAAGACTTGGGTATTTTAAATCTTTATAAATATTTTAAGAGTTAAATATTATTTTAGATATAGTTAAATGTTTTTTTTATTTCTTATTTTATTTTTTTTAATTTTTTAAACAACATCTAAGATATTATTACAGTTAGATTTACGTTAGGAATATTCGTTCCATATCACGTGACGTCCGCATCTCGCGACGGACGCTACTTGTAAACAAACAGTTATTTCTGAAGAAAGATTGAGGCCAATCTGAAATATCAAATATATATACAAATAAATAAATACTTGCATAAAAGAACATTATTAGTTTATAATTTGCAACTTTTCTATATATACATATTAAGAAAGTATACGTGGTTCTCATTATGCTATATATATATATATATATATATATATATATATATATATATATATATATATATATATAAATTTGTCACTTAGCTGATTGATGTCATATTTAGCACTCCGACTCCGAGTTTAGTGGATGAACCTTGTTTTGTAATCGTTCGTTCCACTGGTCAGGAGGTACCCGTAACTGACTACCGATTTTCACTTTTTCGTTGCTTTTGTATTTAGTTGAAAATTTATTTGTGTTGGATTGATTTTTCATTTTTGTGTGTTTATGTGTATATCTTTTTGTGTACGCACGTGTATGCTCGCGTATGTGCGACTGTGTACGCTTTTACGCGCATCTATATGCACAAGTGTAGAATATCGGCGTTTTTTTTTACCATCCTTTTCTTGTCTCATTTTATAAGCTCTCACTATTTACTTTTCTTCTTTATTCTCTATTTCGGCTCTGAGTGCCAAAGATAAAGTCACAACGTCATTCCCGGTGTCATAGGCAGGGCTTATTTTGAGGCTAATTTTTCTTGAAGATTTAAGTTTGCAAAATACAGGTGTGTTCGTTTTTTGTTTTTTTATGTTTGTATTTTTTTTCATTTATTTCTGGTTTAAATTTTAAATAATCATTTTTTAAATTAATGCTCAAATGACGTAATGCATACCAGACCTGTAATATTATGGCCGGCTACTAGTTACCCGAGCACATCTGTCTTCCAGGGCGATTACTGATCCCTATTGAATGAATCTGCTCCAGCACGTTTTGGGTTTTTCAACGCCCACAGAACCCACCGAGGGTTTATACTGTAACTCTGCTGAGGATGCCATAGTTAAAGGTTCTGGAAGAGAGTGCATAACTTGAACAACGCCAATAAGCTCAAACTCTCGGTTACGATGACTTACACACACAGACACACACACACATATATATATATATATATATATATATATATATATATATATATATATAGTTTATAAAAAAAACTAGGTAATCCGTATGGGTAAACCTAAGGAGGATAAAATCCAGAGCAAATAATTGAAATAAAAACAGACCACTTTAAGTTTCCATGTAATAAATTATTTCACGACAGCCCTTTTAAAGGACTGTGGATTATCAGACTTTACTTACAAGACTTATTATTTACAAACAAAAAATGAAAAGAAAATTTACACATTTTTGACTTAACTAAAATTTACACATTTAAGTAAAAGAGATTACCTATCTAGAAACAGTCACGAGTTAAATCCATGAACAAAATTCAAACGGATAGAGATGTCAACTTAATAATCAATAATAAAAATTTTTAAAGAGATTAAAAAAAGATTACTAGAAGTAAACTTATATTTTAAAATAAAATTTTATTCTTTTAATGTACTTTCTATGAATATTTTTCTAATCGACTATTTCATAGAAAATCCCCAAAATTTAGATAAAAAATTAAATCCCTAACAAACATCAAATTAAATCATTTGTAGACAGTTTAGAGACATTCAAATTTATATCAAACATTATAATCTTTATGAACCCACAAAATAACACTTTCAAAGTAAAACAAAATAACAGCGTCTGTTTCTAGCCATTTTTTACAAAGATAATTTAGTGACACCTTCTCTCTTAACTTCCTTCTCTCTTTTTCTCTCTATGGGTTTTTTCTTCTCTACCCCTTCGATATCAACATATAACTTCCGTTAAGTTAACCGTTTAAATGTGTCAATGTCTGCTAACACACTCATGTCTCCTCTCTCCCCACTCACTTCCTCACTTTGTTAATTTACAAATGTTTAATACGGCCCGTCAAAATTGTGTAAATTTTCTTTTCATTTTTTGTTTGGAAGTAAAGTCTAATAATCCGCAGTCCTTTATAAAGGGCTGTGGTGAAATAATTTATTACATGGAACCTTAAAGTGGTCTGTTTTTATTTAAAATACATTATTTAAATTATATATATATATATATATATATATATGAAGAAATAGTTTTATTAGGATGTGCTATATTTATGGGATAAAGTACTCAATATCAGAGATAGAGCGTATGTAAATATGAAAGTGAATATTGAAGTCACAACTTGGAGGCAACACGCTGTTTCATGCTGGACGCAATCGTCAGGCGGCTCAGAAGCGTCAGGCTCTTTCATGCTGGACGCAATTGGGGTGTTACAATAAATTTTAGTTCAGAATTTAAGATATAAGTAAAAAGACGTATAAAATATATTATAGAGGAGAACATGACTAAAGACTGTGTGTACGCCATCCCATGCAGCTGCGGGAAGAAATATACAGAGGAGACAGGCCGCCTTAAGGAAAGGCTTCAAGAACACCAGAAAGCTGTAAACACGAAGGGAAGTGGAAAAATCAGGCGTCGCTAACCACATATGGAGAGAGAAGGGAGATCACCGCCCTCTGTGGGATCAGGTTGAGATCATAGACAAAGAACACCATTGGAAAATTTGTAAACTTAAGGAATCAGCACATATGCTATACCACAAAAGTCTCCTGAGCCGACCAAGCATAGAAATGAATACAATATGAGAACCAGTAATAAGGAGTGCCAGAGAAAAGCGATAATAACATCAAAAATTGCAATGTGAGCACTGGTTACAAAATAATTGCTGAAGAAATTAGGTTTATAATACCCAGAAATTCATACACAGATATCCTGAAGGAAAAATGGCACAGTTAGTTAGATCCA